AAGGCAAGTATGAAATATTCTGGAAAAGCTTGTTTCAGCGATTTGTATTCAAGCGGACAAAAGACCAAAATAGATAGACGAAAGTAGTGTGGCCCTTGACGTTTGATAGCCAAGTGGCAGTCAGTTCAACATGATTAGGCTTTCATATCAGATGAGTAATTTATCAATTACAGATGTATAAACAAGCGACCAATTATTCTATCGATAAAGATAGAAAAACATACACGCACATATATACATAAACGCTCAAGCCCTAAAGTGGATACTTGATGAGAACAAACATATGAGTGTACGGGACAACTTTAAAAGACGACAAACATTTTTCTGTTCGACAGTTACAATCAACCTACGTACATATTAGATTCACGATCACCTCACAGTTAAGTCGAATCCTTTAGAACTTAGTTGCTTGATAGGTACTTTGAGTGTCCTCGTTATTACAATTTATGTAACTTTGAATTAGACTATGAGATCAACCTCAACAAAGAGTGAGTATCTCCAAGCAAAAGTCATATCTTGATAGATAGTAATTTAACATTTTGTTACATCCAGTGACATTTCTTCAGCCCTAAAGTAACATGCATTTTAGTTTCGTTTACATTAAATACCGATATATGTGGATTATCGTCTGTTGGCTTTTGAAGATGACCAACTACCAAACCAGTATAGAAACATTAGTAAGATCGCCTCACAAGATCAGCAATTGACATCTTTATCACATGCTACTGACTCGTTTAACTTGTGTCAGATGAGTGATTTCGTGAACTTAAAACATGGGAGCACCAGCAAATTTAGGACCTATTTCTGGATTCAAAGAAGTTCTTTAGAAACTAGTCACACACTCGAACAAACTCGTTGCAATTTATTGGGTAATATTTGACGGATTTCCATAAGAAAACATTATCCGATCAGAGAACTCGTGGGATTTCCATGGCACAAAAATCTATTACTACTGGGTTTTATAGTTGATCAAAAATATAAAAACACGAATTCACAACAATATGAAATGACTAGGGTGTGATGTTTATACTGACTAATAATTCCCTAGTACATCTTCCAGATCTTGGCTTAAGTTCCAAGTTCAACACGTTCGATTATATTCACGGTGTTCACTTTGAATCGGATACTGATACGTTTTGGACTATTAGAGTGCGAGTTAGACAGTACGAAGAATAACTTGTTAGATTGGTGGGTTCGACTACTTCTGATAATCTCATAAGACCAAATATTGAGTTGGTTACTTGAATGTAATGAGTCCAAGATAAAGCAGATGAATATTGACAGCACAAACTGTACGTTTTAAGCGACCAGGAGAGTTAAAGACAATTGAGAGAGAAAACTGAGTGTGATTGGTAGTGCTTGTACTAATGAACGAAAATCAGTATGACATAGTTACATAATGAAATTAACATGTCATAGTAAATAAATTTATACAGTAAGTAACATATAATGTGCAAGAAGAATAAAACTATACAAGATTTGAATATACATATGAATTCCAAGTTAACTATCTCTACAGATTGCAATAAACTCCACAATATGGTCTATGAAGAGGAATATTAATGACAAAAGACGTTTAGGAGGCTGCTTGGAATAAGTCAGTGGGTAAGGAATATGACAAGAGGAAATTTTATTTTCCATTGAATTTGTCACAACGAACATTCGTGATAAAGGTGTTTCGCATCTTGTTTGGTATTATTTTTCTTCATTACCTCCTGTTTCAAACGGTGGTTACGAGAGTCGAGAACGAATCAATTCGATTCTAGGTGACTTAATTTCGCCGTTTTCTACTTATTTGAGATCAAGTATATTTTTTCGTGTACCAAAGAGATTTATATCGAAAACAAGTTATGTTTTCGTTTCGTTTTATGAGTTCCTCCTAAAAAAATTCTTATAATTTAGGACTGTGGTGGACCAAAACATTGTAAATTCAAAAAGATATTTCGATGTTAACTTCCGTTTTCATCTTTTAAAATTGTAACTTACACGGTGCTAGTAGTCTTGAAACAGCAATTACCGTTAGTTTAATAATGCACAATACAAATGGTACAACTGCAGAAATATCAAAATAACAACCTGATTTCATTCATATCAAATAACTTCACATGTAGCCATATTCATTTGTTACCTTAATAATTATAAAGTGTAAAAGGAAATTTTCGGCCTTATGTTTATGCTCAATTAAATATTAATAATAATAATAATGATAATAAGCACAATATTCAAATAATCGGTCATTCTTTCTTTGCATATCTTAAAAACAAACCCAAATGACACTACCTATACTGACCTGTGAATGTAAAGAAATTTAATTGATGAAAGAAATATTCTGATTAATTGTCCATTCAAATAAAGAATTACAAGGACAATCTCCTAAATATAATAAAGAAACAAAAATCTCTTATAAAATAGCTTTGAATTAAAATATGTTGAAGGTGAACAAATTAGAATATAAATAATTCTAAAAAGAAATTCTTTTCAAATTAAATCATTAAAAATTTAATTCAAATTGTTAAATAATAACAAAAGAATCATTTAATAGTTGAATCCATGAGTCGATTAAAGCTAGACCATCATAGAAAACCTGGAAGTATGGAGCTTCTCAACAGTGCGCAACCACGATCCTACACACAGGACTTGAACTATTACAATCATCCTAGTATAGGACGAAACGGCCGTTTAGTGCTTCTAGGTTTTCCGTGGTCGTCTAACTTCAATTGATTCATGAATTTAACTATTAAATTACTATAATATCCACAAAACCCCTATCTGAAAACAAAGAATCATTAAAAAAGACAAATGTGGTCAAATTTTATAAACTGTACGAAAGTGTACTAAATTAATCTGTAATTAACTATAACAAAATATTCCAAACTGTTCATTTTGGTTGTATATTTTTGTATGTGTAGATATTCATTCATTTTTTGTTACAAAATGTCTTACATCGTTGTTAATGAATACGTTGCCTGTATATATATATATATATGTATATATATATATATATATATATAGAGAGAGAGAGAGAGAGATATTAGATGGTGGTTTGAGGTAGTCGACAGGAAACCCTGGAGCCGGGTTTCGTGCTACTTGGCACTCGTCAGCAAGGTGTACCTGTAATTTCGAGGGAACTGGTGCTCCCTGGCAAATTCGATTCCGTGTCACCCAGTTTCACAGTCTGAGACGTTACCACTGAGCTATATATATAGACTGAACCAAACAATATGGATTCTATTTTTTTCATGGCCATTAACACTACTTTTACACATATTTTAAAAGTGTCTTCCTAGTTCAAGCACTATTGGTTTTGTGTTGACCAAACCATGAACAATTTTATCTGGTTAGGTTTCATGTTATTCAAACTGCTCTTTTACGTTTGTTGGTCTCAATAAAGAAAACTGGTATCTATTACAAATGAAACCTTGTAAGACATCGTGTTAATTCTTTAATTTGATGCCTTAATTCATTATTAACTATGTATTTTAATATACATAAGACATATGACATATATGAGAACTATATGAATGAAAGTAAATGTTAGATATTGTGACTTACAAGACATATTTTGTTGTTAGCTTCCATGATAGTGAACTTAACATTTTATGTATTCTTCTAACAAAAGCATTTAATTCGTTGTTAAGAATTTTAAAAAGTTATGTTACATAAACGGCGTGAATATTCTAACACATCACAAAATCTATTATTTAATAGTATATATAAGGCTAATTGTCGCTTACCATACTTTAAAAAACCCTGTAACGTTTTTGTATTAACATTGGATTGCTAATATTTGGTTATTCTTACAGATGAGCGAAATCAGTGTTCTTATTATTATTATGACGTCTACCAAAAATCTGATACTCACACTTGAATTACTGCTTAGTCTAACATCTCATACTATGTGTTGTTCTACACTATACATAATGCGTGTAACTAAATACCTATCTTTATTGGCAATCAACATTTTGAGCTCTTTTCTAAAGTCGAGATCTTATCATTTATAATCGAATATGTCCATTTCCGTTGCGTTTTAACTTTAATCTTAAACAACTAATGGGAACTATCACATCGCAATTCGGTAAACATTTGTGAAAGCTTTTACTTCACCATTTGTCTCACTAAACGACTGTGGTTTTACTATTGAAATAACTTTGTAGATATATTTAATATATCAGACTTATTTCAATCGAATTATGATAAGCTGATAATAAAGGAATATAGTAAACACTACGGACAACTGTAAATTTAGTTATATATATTATAATAACTAGAAAATGTTATTGTACTTCAATGATATATTTTGTTTACCGTTTGTCCATCTGCCGGAATCTAAAACTTCATCCTCATGTAAACTTGTATAATACATCTTGATAAGTCGTTCAAAATAATCGATTAAAATCCTTTAACCTACTTACTATAGTGGTTGACTCAGTTGTAGCCCGATGACCACGTCTCTGACTGTGGAATAGAATGTTCATATCCAGTTATCTAAAACCGTACAAATTATATCACGATATCAAGTTACTCATCTTTGTGGTGGATGAACTTCAGCTGAGTACTAACGATTAGACAACACGACATTGACTACTACTGTCTGACATATAACTAAATTTTGTTCGTGTATATCAAATCTTTATTAGCTTTTTTGGTGAGACTCTAATTTATGGACCACCTTTGAGCGACGCTAGACTGAATTTGAGAGTATCCACCTAATAACCAGTACCAAATGAGGGTTACAAACTTGTGTGAAAAATTAGAATTGTGATATACAGTTGATGATTAGGGTTAGGAATTCAATTTAAGGTTTTCACCACAAACTGACATCAACTATAATATCAAAACTCTTATTAGCCAAATGGATGAGTGAATTTCGTGTCATAATCTGATACCTTTTATCTTATATCTGATTAGTCCATCCATAAATTATAGTCTCGCCTATTCAAAGATTAATATGAGAAAATTAATCTTCATATCATAAATTACAACAACAAAAAGCATAAAGATCATTTGCGAGAATAATTTTATTTAATTATTTTTTTTAATGTTTAACTTATAGAAATTAACATTTATGAAATAGATTTTAATTAATTAAACTTCCATTAATCCACCTCGAAATTCTTTGATAGGAAACCAACGTTTTTCATTCATTATTTTCCACCATTTAGGAATATGTGATCTTTGATAACTAAAATATATAATCAAATAAATTAATAATTGATAAGGAATTAGAACATATTCATAATATGTTGATTGAATTGGTATATCCACAGGGTTTCCTGAGGAAACTCTCGAGTATAACAAGTAAGAAAATAGTCACACTGACAACTAATAAGAAACCTCTCTTCTTGAAGCTGCAATTCAATGGTGATGTATCTGGTGATGTATTGCGTGATAGACTGACTAGAGCAGTAAAGAGAACGTTTAATGCTGCCAACCTCTGTCTATCGTATTCGACCCGATCTATGGTGATTCCCCAACTGAAGGATAAGTTACCTGGTTATGTCACTTCTATGTGTATTTATGAATTCAGCTGCTCCTGTGGAGAAAGCTATATTGGGCGCACTACCATGCAACTGAACCACCTCCCTTCGTGGTTTGGAAAAAGTAATGTCAAAACAATATGCAGCTAGGTTCTATCACACTTGATTGATAGCGGTCATACATTAGACAGAACTAAGTCATTTAAAGTTATTTATCGTATTCCCACTAGTTTCCCTTATGGGATCTCGTCTTCTACACATAGCAGAAGCCATAGGAATTCGAGCCAACAAGCCAAGTCTTTGTGTTCAGAAGGAATCTGTAACACCCTTATCTCTCCCTTGGCCATAATAAATGAGTTTATTTATTCTTTTTCAAACTTTCTCTTCGTTTATTATTTTTCTTCACCCCCTCCTATCACTTTATTTTCTGTCAACTATACGTTGCATGGTCCAATTATCTGAACATTTCTTATTACCAGAATGAGTTTTGTGGAGATTTTAGAAATTTCACAGATTGAAATCATGAGTCAGTTGAAGCTAGACCACCATTGAAAACCTGGAAGCACTGGACGGCCGTTTCATCCTAGTATGGGACTTCTCAGCAGTGCGCATCCACGATCCCGCACCACGCGGGGCTCGAACCCAGGGCCTACTGGCTTCGCGCGCGAGCACTTAACCACTAGACCACTGAGCCGGCATCCAACGGTGTTAATGTCTAACTTCAACCAATCCACGAAGTTGCGCCACCGTACACCATTGTCTTCAGTGAGTTCCTATCTCACAACAGACCTGGTTGAACTCCACTGGTAACGGCTTCTCACTAGAACTTCGGGAGTTTTTCCTGAAGTCAGTCACTAGTGAGCAGTTGATTATTATCAGAATGGATTTTGTGGAGATTTTAGAAATTTCACAGATTGAAATCATGAGTCAGTGCTTTCAGGTTTTCGATGGTGGTCTAGCTTCAACTGACTCATGATTTCAATCTGTGAAATTTCTTATTACGTCATCTTATAATTTTATAAATGTCATCTCACCATCTATATTATTCTAATCATTGACCTATTTCCGACTATGTAACATTGATTTGAGCCTTTATTATTCTTATCAAACCTAGTACACCTGTCATCGCACGATCAATTTGTACTTTTCACATATTATGTAATTGTTTCAAATGTCTCATAAACTACCTTGATTGGTTTAATACTTTCATATGTGCATATAAATATTACTGTATATATTAGAGTAAAGCCTGATGAAGATCTAATCGAAAACAATATTGTTCGCTTATATTTGTTATTCTAAATAATGTATTTGTATATTTACTTAAAATACATTGGTTAAAGTGAAAATGTAACTGATACTATGGAAATAGATTCATGTGACTCTTTAAATTAACTTTAAAATGTTTTGACTGTTTTTTTACATCATTTGAAAAAAATGAGTTTTATGATCAAATAGATTGTTGATTAGAGAATAAATAAAATTACGAAGTTTTTTTTATATTTTTAATTGTGTTTTATTCTCTGAGCTGGATAGTTTAGTCGTGAAGCATTTATCATTCTTCTAAATGACATTATCAATACAAACGTCAAGTAAAAATGAAGTGCTCAAATTTCACCATATGTGGTTTACAACTTGTTCCGTAGACTTCAATGTTGATTGGTTCTTGTTCATACATTTTTATAATGATAAAGTCTTTGGAATTCGTTCTTGTTTTTTTTTTAAAATTTGGACTGGAATTGATGTTTATGGCCTACAAGTAGCCTATATATGATGATCAATATATGTTACAACCGTTTTGTTGTTGTGTAAATACAATGATGTTTTACATTAGAATTTCCTCAGAATGATATTTTTGAACAGTTTTATAGTGTTTTTCGAAATTATGCTCTGATAAAGTGAACGAATTGTTTATATTATATTACTGTATTTTAAACACTTTATGAACAACAGTTAGCGTATATTCATTTCTCCAAACACTCGATCGTTTTCAAGGTATTTGATTATAATAACTACTGTAAATAGATTATGTTTGGTATATATTTATCAAACATTGAGACTTTGATATAATTTTGGGGATTTGGGGAGATTGTAGTGTTTCCAATGTTGGATTCATGAGTCATTCTAAGCTACACTACTACTGAAAACCTGGAAGCACTAGATGGCGCACTGCTGAGGAGTCCCATCCTAAAACGAAATGGCCATCAAGTGTTTTCAGGTTTTCAATGGTGGTCTATCTTAGATTGACTCATGAACTTAACTCTGATATAATCCTTTAGAAATCAAAGTTTTAGCGTAGGTTTCTAGAATATTAAACCCATTCTTCCAAATGTTTTTAAGAGGAATTCTAAGTCTGGGTATTCTTTATGGATTATAAATGAAAATCACAGTAGGCCTCCTTAGTCTGTTGTAAAACATTACTGACAGGTACTGCGTTTGCGATAATGGATAGATATTTTCTGAGCATGTAAGCAATCAAATGCTTTCAAATCTAAAATCGATAAACATAATTTTTTCCAAACTGAGGAAGAAATTATAATCTGCACTATTACTAATGAGGCTTATAGGATGTCAGTCTTTATTACAATAGTTAGGTTATTCTCTAACTAGTCTAGTGAAAATGTTCTATTATAACTTGAAACCAAACATTATGTGGTGTTCAGCTCCTGTATACTATCAGCTCTTAAATTTATGTTCATTTTCCATCAGTGGACGCACCAATGTATTCATCATTTCTTTAAATGAGTGACAGAACATGTAAAAACATTTCGATATACTGTGCATACATCACAATTTGAATATTATTGAAGAACCAGGTAACATCATAGGAAATGTTTGGACATTAAACTCATGATGATAGCTACTGAATCTTTTATCAGGACGCCATACGTTAATAAAGCCCGTTTGTAAATCACTAATATCAAGCTGCTGTTTTCAAAGCTTGTCATACAAAAACACTATTTTTTATGTACAACTTAATAACATTACATGATAACTACAGAATATCAGAATGGGTTTTGTGGAGAGTTTTAGAAATTTCACAGGTTGAAATCATGAGTCGATTGAAGCTAGACCACCATGGAAAACCTGGAAGCACTGAACGGCCGTTTCAGTGGTCTAGTGGTTAAGTGCTCGCGCGCGAAGCCAGTAGGTCCTGGGTCCGAGCCCCACGTGGTGCAGGGTCGTGGATGCGCACTGATGAGGAGTCCCATACTAGGACGAAACGGCCGTCCAGTGCTTCCAGGTTTTCCATGGTGGTCTAGCTTCAATCGACTCATGATTTCAACCTGTGAAACTACAGAATAATAAGAAAGAAGACTAGTTAGTTATACAAGGCTTTTGTATGTTGTAATAAAAGTTTAAACCATATTAATCTATCAGTATGAATGATATTTCTTTACGTAAACGATTAGTAAAGTTATCAGAAATATTTGACTACACAACTTTTAAAAGTATTTCATACTGTTTTAATAATTTAGTGTAACTTGGTAATCAAGAACAGGTCTATAAATTCCTTCTTTATTCATTGTTTATTATAAGTTCTAGTGAGATTAACTCTCTGTCCAAATTGACGTAGGAAGGAATACGTTCGAATCCTCAACTTATTGATTGAAAGATGGAGGGCTGATAATTAGTTTTCCAAAAGTAGATCACAGAATAAGGTGCATTAACAGAATTGCTTACAAAGTCATTATTCCAGTTCTATAATCTGTATAGTACCTGTGAAATGGTTTTGAAGGATGAATCATGAAAATATTGAAATCATCATTGTATATTTAAGGAACACTTAAACGATAAATAATAATACGAATAAACTCACTAATATGGACTATTATCAATGAATGAATTTGAATCTAATACTGCTTCAGGTACTTCACTTTTCAAATAACCATGTGGATTTGCATTTGAACTGATCGCAAACATATATATGATAACTATATAACATAATAATCAAAATAAGTGAAAATTATTCCATATATTAGTACATACTATTTTAATTCTTATTAAGTATTATATTCCAAGTAATCAATGGAATAATCATTAAAAATCAGAACAAACATAAATGTTATGTACAGTTTTCTTCTTAGCAAATTTTAATATCTGATATGAATCCATTGCTGTTTTTAATTTATTGTTCTTTGATTTCAAGTTCACTGTATGTTAATGATTTTAATGCTGGCTATAAGCTAATCATTGAATCAAACATATCCATTAAAAAAACAACTCATTTACTATCGTTGGTATACCATAACAAATTCATAGATCATTGTAAGTTAGTGAACTTGTTAAATGGATGGCTGGATACTCTCTATATTTAATATCACTTATGTTTTTGCTAATTAGTTGTAGCTGAATATAGAAAGAGGAATTCAATGGACTGAAACATGCATGTCAGTGATAATGTTCACATTAGGTTTTAAGGCATGCGCTTTATAATCTTGTAAATAGGAGGAAACTGATTTCTTACAGTATACAAGTCAAGAAAACACGCTTCGAAATCCTACCATAAATTACATATCGTATCTTAAGGATAATTTAATAGTTGAATTCATGAGTCAGTTAAAGCTAGATCAGTGGAGTTCTGTCGGATCTGTTGTGAGGTAGTAACTCTCTAAAGACAATGGTAAATGGTGTCGCAATTTTGTCGATTGATTGAAGTTAGACATTAGCACCGTTGGATGATGGTTCAGTGGTCTAGAGATTAAGCATTCCCGCGCGGGACCGATAGGTCCTGGTTTCGAGTCCCACGGGCGGGATTGTGGATACGCACTGCTGAAGAGTACTGTGGTAGGACGAGACGGCCATCCTATACTTCAATATTTTCCATGATGTTCTAGCTTTAAATGACGCATGCATTTAACTATCATATTACTGAAATCTTCACAAAACCTCCTTCTGATTATGAATAATAGTTTTCACTGTATTTTTTTTCTAAAAATCATCACCGACTGATGGACCTGAATTATAATAAAACATTTTCTTTGGATCCTACTACTTGTCATCATTATCAAAATATATGGTGAATTATTTATTATTTAACGTTAAAATTTTTTAATTTTACCGATATTTTATTAGATTTGTCTTATTCAACAAATTACCCAATTGAAAAACAAAATTTATTTTATGAGTCCACTCAAAATGAATTCGACAACATACGAATAATAATTTTATCCTTCTTGGTTTATTCAACAAACTATACTAAACTGCAATCATCAAATGTTCATTTATATTACATTAAGAAGATTTGATTTTTAGTATCTTTTAAGCTGAAGAACCAATATGACACTTCAGGCGAGACTCTAATGTATGGACGACCTTTGAACGAATCTTAAGTAACCTTGAGAAATATTAGCCAATCAGCAAACAGTCAGCATCAAGCAAAAATATGTTATACAAAACCAAGGAAATAAAGTGGATACACTTCTTATACGTGGTTCAAAAACTTGTCAAGATTAGAAAGAGGTTCAGAGGTTCTAAAATCGTAATGCATGCAGTAGAGGAAATAGTCGGGAATAGTCGACCTCTGGAGCCATGGTAAAGTCTCAAAAACTCTTTCAGCCTCGACCACATAACTTCAATATTGTTCATGTGCACTCCGGTTGTTGAGTGCACAAAATGCTACTTGTGGATAACGACACGATGCACATAACCAATCCTATGTAGGAGTCATTACTCTCTCCAAACATCAGTATATAGTGTATTACCTGGCTGCATCCAGTGTTACTTGTGCTTTTATTATCCAGTTCGCAATAATTGTCGTAATTTGCCTTAATTAGGAATAATATATGGGGTTTTCATCACGAACTGACATCAGCTATAATGCCAGAAATTTATTTAGCTAAATGGATGAAAGGCTTTCGCGTTAAAATCCGAGATATATTATCTTATACCTGATTGATTCGTCCTCAAATTATAGTCCCGCCGTTTTATTTGTTATGGCCGCTCAATTATCACGTTTTGTACAAAATTCCCTGTGAACCGATCGTACGTTAGCATTAAGCACTGAAGTTGGCGCCGTAACCTTGAAATCTCTAAAACACCTCCGATTGCCTCGTCCATAAATTAGAGTCTCGCCGACACTTCACTATCAAAGAAATACCATTTTTCACTTCAAACTAAGTCCAAATTTCAATTTTATATTGAAAATAAAGTCTTGGGTAAATACTAAATAAACAAGGAATTAAAATTGTTTGAATACTCTAAAACTGTTATTGAGGAAACACTTGTAAATAATTAAAAAATAAAAGTTTAAGCTCAATAAAATGGAAATGCAGGTTTACGTCCACTGAATTAGATGTCATGAATAACTAATGATTAGAATACATATCAAAATAGATATGATTAATTTCTTTATTTTTTGTTCTAATACTTTACCTTAAACAGATCTTAGTTTAAAGAAATTTCTGTAAACTAATAAGCACTTGAAAACTATTTCGTCCTAGTATGAAACATTTTAGCAGTATAAATGCATAGCCCCCTACCTAAGATAACACTACAGATCTCTAGGTTTCTTTTCAAAGATTAAACTTCAAACCATTAAGTGTATACCATTTACTTCTAATGTTATTCACCTTCCTTCACACACCACTTTTGGATGTTGATTGAAATAGTCATTTTAACAACATTAAAAATTTTAATAATAAATTTCACAATGAAACGTATAATGAAATAAAATATTATGTGTATAAATATCTTACTACTCGTTTTACATCTATGTAAGAGTTTCTGAGTTGAAAAATTATAGTTAATAGTCATTTTGTGGTGTGTGCTACTTATATTGACATAAGTAGTAGATGATGTTAGTCGTGAACAGAATATCTGGCAGCAGAGAGACAAGAGGATCGAACAGTAAAGAATGGAAACAGAGTCCAATTTGTATGAAAATGCAAGAACAATGAAGTTTGAGTCATTATGAAACAATTGATAGACATTTTGCAAATTACGTATTTACTATTTGATTGTTCGATTTTATTAACAAGTCCTGTAATTTTGTGTTAAATGTATTCCATTGTCCCCGCTGGTGTTCTTGTTCACTACGATTTGATAAATAGTATTTTACTTACTTTAAACATGGAATGTATTGTAATCACTGATTAGACAGATGCTTGTAAATTACAACTCAATTACTTGCGATAATCATGTTCGTTTTTAAAAAAGATAGTTTTAATTCATAGACTGATAGGTTAAAATGATATTTGAGAAATATAGGTTAAACCTTGTTTATTTGTTCCCTAATATAGTTCAATCTATCTGAACGTATTTAGAAGTGATTAAATTGATAATGTTTAATGAACTATATAATGGAATGCTTCATAATAATCATAATCATGAATATGTTTATATCATCTTATTAAGTAGTTTCAAAATTTAATGGGAAGTAGCATATCTCTATTTGTTCTAGTCTTTTTTATATTTTAATCGATATTTTCCCGGTAATAATTCCTCATCTCAAAAACACTTAAACAAATTAATCTGATAACAGTGTTATTTATTTGAATTTTACAAAAAGGCTATTTTTTCATAAAGTTTTGTCTCATGTTTTCAACTCACCAAATACCAATCACAGCAAATTAGAATTTGTGATTATGTAATCTTCCAAGATATGAGAAAATACTTTTAAATGACCATATAACTGTGCTTATAATATCGATATAAATAGTATATAATCATAAGAACGTCTGGCAACAGAAGCTCAAGAAGATCGAAGAGGATGGAACGGGAACAAAAAGTAATCAGTATAGAAATGCAAGAACATTGAAGTCTGATACGGTTGACTGATATTTCGAAAGGAAACAGTTATGTTTCACATAATTTATTGACGTTTTGCAAATGAAGTATCCACTGTATGGTTCTCAGATTTTACTAGGGCATTCTGTAATTTTGTATTGAAATACATTCGATTGTTCCTAGTTGTGTTCTCGTTCACTACAATATATTGAGTAATTTTTTCATCTTCGAAATGTGTAAGTTTTCTTGAAACGTAACTGTTATATAACCATTTAAATATTCAGATATTTTTTAACTAAGAATACAATATCAAAGAGTATTCGTAGATTAGTAAAATGAAGTCAGTAACTAAGTTTATTCTGTAATTTGAAGTGTTTGTTTTACTGTTTTTATTTTGTTTAATGTTTAGATTGAAAACACAGATTAACAAAACACTCATTTTGTAGTCGAACTCTGGAATGATCAAGTAATAGAGCGTATTTAGAAAATCTATCTATTTGATTACTGTATGGAAAAATTCTTCCATCATATGCGGGATGAGAGATCTTATACAATTGCTTATAGTTTTCTTCATTTAATTAACTGAATAAACTTACAAATTGGATGTTAGCTAATGAAGAATAGTAGAACTTAAACAGAAAAACATTGTTTTGGCACAGGTACAAATAATCGATATTATAGAATTCCTATTCTGAGGATAGTTTCTACATGAATATAATCTTATCAAAACCTCTCTTAGACCATCATCTTATTGTTCCTCTCAAGGAATTTTTAAAAAAATAACTGTTTCTGGGGAATGTTACAAAACGTTATTTACACTCGGCAAGTTTTTTTTTTACCTATTTTTATAGTTAAATGTAATGACCTGTTTAATAATATTCTTAATCTACCTTCTCTCATATTTATATCGTCAGAACAGTAATCTATTTAAAGAATAATATTTCATCCAATTATTTCAACCGATACGACCTCTATTTTGTTCGATTTTTTTCCCTTTTTTTGTTGAAAATCTATCCAACGCTAAATTATTTATACAGTTTAAATGAGTTTTCGAAATCACACTTCATAGTATTAATTTAATTGACCTGGAAAATATTCATTATTCATTGTTATTATTAATAGTTTTATTATTATTTTAAGTCTAAAGAAAGCTTGATTTCATTTTTTTCTCTCAGATGTTTAGTAAATAGGTTAACAGTTGAAGTTGAATTCATATGCTTTATAATTGATCGAAATATATCCACAATAAAAGTGTAATAAATGAGAACAAAAGTAGGGACAATCAAATGTATTTCAATACAGAGTATCTTAGTAAAATTTGAGATTCATACAGTAAATACTTCCTTTGCAAAATGTCAATCAATTAGTTAAAACCTTCATTGTTTGTTTTTCAAATGTCACTCAATCGTCTCAAACTTCATTGTACTTTCGTTTTCACACAAGTCATTTCCTGTTTTCATTCTCTTTTCTTTGAACGTCTTAATCTTCCGCCTTCAGATATTTCACTTCCGATTGATGATACATACTATTTATATCTGTCGACATCAGTAGCACACACCGCAAAATATCAATAATCATACTATTATTTACGAAAGAAATTACTACTCACATTTTTTCCAATCGTATACATTATTCTAAACCTAGATAATTCCGAAAATTCTATTTCAAAATTAATTTTAAGTACATTTTTATTATTTGTGTAAAGAAAATATAAAGCGTTTAACACTAAGTAAGTACATAGAACTTAACTGAAAAACACAAACCATTCATGATCAATACTATAAACTTCGTAAAAATACATTATGAAGTTTCTCTTTGAATGATAAGATCTAGTATAATTGCGACTCAGATTTAATGTCAGTTAATTAATCATAGATCTTGATTTACAGTCCAAAATATACGGTATTAACGTATATGATAGCTTAGCCATTGTAGAAAAACAAATTCTGATTAACATAAGACGTTTAATTTTATTCTTGTTTAAAAATCATTCAAATATTCAGGTGATGTGAACTGATTGCCCTTAGTTACAATTCACTGTTCAATAACAAGCTTCATTGATACTCATTAAAAATGTAATCAAGTTAAACTGATTTTAAACCATTATTTTTTGGTGCGAGTCATGTTTTATAACCTGAAATGTATATCATATATCTTACAATCAAGATTACGATTATATTGATTACATCATAGTGAAAACCAGATAGTAACTTATAAAAAACTTATAAAGAGCGCTTTCCAGTTTACGTGAATATTCGTCAATCTATGAATGAAAATTTCGACAGCAACTAGACGCTGAGTAATAGAAAGAAATCTTGTGAAACAAATTATATTTACATAGTCTCAGGAACTAGAGTTGGAATAATTCCAACCGTTCACCCAAAAACCTTGTCTGGAACTCTTTGAAGTAATAATCCGAATGAAAACTATCATATATATATATATATATATATATATATATATATATATATATATATATATATATATATATATATATAGTTCAAAAAATAAATCTACGCTAGAATCCCAGCCAATCATCTTCAGTTGCTAATTCTAGTCTAATGTATATTCTTTGATACTTTTGATTATTATACTGAAGAAGTTGAGTGAAATGTTATAATTATTTATTCTAAAATCTTACCTAACCTTCTGGATCTCTTATCAGTATATTCAATTATGCTTAAATCAAAGTAAATTAAATAAAAAGTTATTTCTTAAAATGATCATTTTAGTCCTCTCTCAATTTCAGTGTATGTTCATACTAGAGTTTTTTAGTTATTTTAAAGTCCTTTATACAGAAATCAACCATTCATAGTTTAAATTACATATTCCATTAAAAGAATATACATATTAACTAATCTACAATCTTTTCATAATCCATTTAAAGAAAATCCCAACCGGTGCACACTTATGAGTAAGACTGTATTGGAATTATTATCATGGAATTTTACTAAACAAACAATTCAATGAAAACAGTTTAACTCTGTTGACTAGTGAGGCAATGTGATAAGATACTTAGATTGTTTCTTCATTTAAGTTGTATAGATTAAAATCAAATAATTCGAAAATATTTATGAAACTAACTCTGCATATTTATTTAACTAATATAAACGTCCAGGACAGGGTTAAACGTAGGGTGCTGGTGGGCGACCTATGCTCGTCCACGAGAAGTAACAGGCGTAAGTAAGTAAGTAATATATACCATTATTTAGAAATATTCTTCAACAATTAAAAATAATAGAAATGAATTATTTTGACAGGTAATGAACTTTCAAGGTATATTTACACTGATCCTTTTAAAAAGAGAAAATATCTATTTGAAATTATATCAAAAAACCATCTCTTTGAGTAAACTATGATGATGTCCAATTATTAATCTAAACCAGACATCAAAATAAACTCTCATCATATATATAAACTTACAGTTTAACTCAGTAGGTAACACTCCTATAATTTAAATTTACTATTTATTCTTTCTATTATTATTATTTTGTAGAAATATCATTATCACCATCTACTGCTCAGAATAAGTATTTTCTTGCAAATTTATGAAATTCAGCACGAAGCTATTACAAATACATATTCTTCTAAACTGCGTAGACCTGAATTCATAACTTTTTGTGTTGTTTTTTATCAGAAACTGTAATTCTATATGTTTACAATACTTTTCTTCAAGATTACTTCATTTCACTAATTGATTTTTAGAAGAAAGGAAAACTCTAGTTGATTACGTTAAACGGTAAACGTTAAACTTTCAAACGCAATGTTATTTTACTGCGAATTGATTCACCTTTGAATAATTACCAAAATTTGTACTTGTTTAAACCATGTATTACTAACTTAATTTTATCAGTTAAATTCTAATGTTTCCATTAGTGAAGAAAGATTCTCTATAACTTAACATTAACATGACTTAACAGTCTTTACTACAGTGTAATAGTAATATTATTATCATCAATATTCGGTTACGGAACTTTATAATAAGGATTGAAAACTTACCAGTTAATAGCCGGATCATTTTGAGGAGAAAACTTGTTTTGTTACTTAAATAAGTATGGGAAAATAAATATGAATCTATATCTATCTATCTATATATGTATATTACTCCATACACTATATGGAGAAAATTAAATCTCTATTTATATGTTAAATATGCCGTATATTTGCAAATGAATTTCATTGGCCAGTTATTTTAATTATTTATTATTACTCAAACCAATCAGTTGATTTACAGTAAATAAAACACATTTTGCAACAGCAACAATTCCGACCGAATTAAATGAAAGTAAACAAACAGGGTGGTCTAGCTTCAATTGACTCATGATCTCAACTGTTTAAACAAACAAATATTAAAAAAAAATACTAAGTAGTCTAAAGTATGGTAAATACAAAGTTTATCCGAAACAAATAGCATTACATAAATAGAAACAATTAAGAAAGTAGGCATATTATTTTTGATGAACATGTGTTTTGTACATTAAGGTTAGTGACATTTTCACAAATAGCTTTTACATTGTTACTGAAGTAGTAAATAATCAGTTTTCTAATCTCTATGATAAGCTGGTAAAATAGAATTAACAATTCAGTCGTCTAATAGTTGAATTCATAAGTCGATTAAAGCTAGATCATCATGGAAAACCTGAAAGCACTGAACGTCCGTTTCGTCCTAGTATGAGACTACTCAGCAGTGCGCATTCACGATCCCGCACACGGGACTCGAACTATTGAGTTAACACAATCTCCACAAACCCCTATTCTGATAAAAATTCAGTAGTCGTTAATTGCTTAAGTCAATCACATCAGTGAACTGAGATTAATTTGATGTATTCAGCGTAGATATGATTCATACATTTCACATCATCTGACAAATTTTCCAAATGAAGTTAATAATGTTATAAATGTCCAAGAACAATGCATCTACACAATTTTAGTTATTATATTTTGTTATAAGAAACAGTTGTTGATAATTTTTGATACTGATCTTAGTAAATTAGTAAATAATATTAAACAGTGGCTCACTGAGTGCGATCATGATCTGGCAGACCCTGTTTAACTTCCTCCACCACTCGACATTTCTTCATATATTCGCGTAAGAATAAGATCATTTTAAGTATGAATTACAAAGCACAAAAACTCAGATATCAGTTACAAAAAACGTAAAACAAGGAACAGATTTTAGATACCATCTGTGTTTGCTTGATAGAGACCAGAATACCGGATTTCTAGTAGTGACTTGGCAAATAATCATTTGTCACGGCTTAATACATGATTTTATAATAAATTATCAGCCATTTTAGCTAGTCTTTCATGCACTCTAGCTAGTCAAATAATAAAACTTATATATATATATATATATATATATATATATATATATATATATATATATATATATATATATATATATATATATATAAATCGAATGAACTATTCGCGTGGTCCATTGAAGAACTCCATGAATACATATTCTAACATTGATTTTGTCTAGAAAAGGTGTTAAACTTGAACACGTCCATAGGGTTCGGGACATCTAGTTATCATTTGAATTCCACGTTTAATAACAAGAGTTGTAACTTATGTCTTTTAAAGACAACTTGTGGTTGTCGAGAATGATAGGAGATTAATCTGAGTGAATAGTTATCGATGTTTTCAAATTTCTGATTAGCAATAATGTGTAAAAATAATTAAATAATTATTCAAGTTATTTTCAACTTCTACAATCTAACATTCTGATAATGGTATACCGGAAGTTATATTCTACTGCTTTATAAGTTAAAGTTCTAAAATTCTCAAAAGGATTTGAAGGCTACAAAAAATTATTTGACTGTTTTCTGATACTGAATATCCTAGAGGAGAATGAGTTATGACAGCCTCCGGAGAATTACGCAAAAGTATTTTTCGTTATTCCTATATGAACAAAAAAATACTAGAACATGAGTTGTAAAATATTGTCTATTTATTAAAAGGTGTAACTAGGATATGTCAGTTATTTATGTATCAAGTTTTTGAATATTATTTTCGATGACCATGAATAAAAATGTGAATCTGAAGAAAATGAATTTGCTTATAATATGAAATGACATTTTTATATGTTTGCCTTATACTTACTTACTTACTTACGCCTGTTACTACCAATGGTGCATGGGCCGTCGACCAGCATTCTCCAACCCACTCTGTTCTGGGCCTTCCTTTCTAATTCCATCCAATTCTTGTTCATTTTCCTCATGTCTATCTCCATTTCCCGGCGTAATGTGTTCTTTGGTCTTCATCTTTTCCTTTGGCTTTGAGGACTCCATGTGAAAGCTTGCCTTGTGATGCAGTTGGACGCTTTCCTCAATATGTGTCCTATCCACTTCTAGCGTTTCTTCCTAATTTCTTCCTCCGCTGAGATCTGGTTTGTTCCCTCCCACAGTGGGTTGTTGCTAATAGTGTCTGGCCAACGAATCCGAAGTATCTCGCGTAGACAATTGTTAATAAACACCTGTATCTTCTGGATGGTGGCTTTCGTAGTTCTCCAGGTTTCCGCCCCATACAGTAGAACTGTCTTGGTTCAGAATTGCCTTATACTTCAAACAATTTTGTTGATTTATGCAAATTAAACTATGAAGCAGCTTGCAATTAAGTTATAAAAATTGGAAACGTTTTATAGCATATCAATTTATGATACAATTCACTGGCGGTCGGATTAAGATTTATAGCTTATAATGCCCTTATGTTGCCAAGAAAAGTAGAATCTAGATTGAGATAGTCTTGAAAATGACGTTAGCACTCATTGAATTCCTTCGCCAAGAAATAAAAATAAAATAACTTTACGAAAATTAGTATTAATATCTTTAATAACTGAATTTATGAGCCAATTGAAGTTAGACCATCATAGAAAACCTGGAAGCACTAGACGACCGTTTCTTCCTATTACGAGACTCCTCAGCACAGCGCTCATCCACGATCACGCCACGGGCTTTGGACCCTAGCCCTATCGGTCTCGCGCTAGAGCTTATCCTCTAAACCATGGAGCCGTCATCCAACAATGATAATGTTTAGCTTCAACTAATCCACGAAACTGAGCCACCGTTTGCAATTGTCTTAGAATCCCGAGGGGCGGGATCGTGGATGCGCGCTGCTGAGGAGTCACACAATAGGACGAAAGGGCTGTCCAGTACTTTCAGGTTTTCCATGATGATCTAGCTTCATGAACTCAACTATTAAATTGCTATAATATCCACAAAGATCCCTTCTTATAATACTCAGTAATTATTCTATAGATGCTCTACTTTTATGTATGTTTTGTGAGCGGTTCAATATACATATATGTATATTCCTTTCATTAATGTAATTATATTTAAATTAGATTTTTTTAGATGAGAATGCTACAAAACAACTACACCCTATACACAAATTACAGAAAATTTCCATTTGCAAACATAAACATTTAGATTTTTATACAAAATAATGCAGAAAAAAAGATTAAAATACATTTTGACCTGATTCATCATTAGTTTCCATGATATTATTCTTAAGAAACTGAATGACATACATTAGAACATCATAATGAGCTGGTGTAAATGTACATCTTAGTAAATGATCCATTGAATCCCAAGTAGTTTCACCAACAACAACAACAAAGATAATTGTGTGTATAAGAAATATATTTTTTCTACACACTATATGTTACTACTTCACGAGTACTGTGAAAAGACTATACATAAAAAAATTGGATAAATAATCACTCATAAATAGTAACATACAGTTTTGTTATTTACTATTTGTCATGTAAATTTGTTAATACTCATGGAATAATCATGAAAATTAGAGCTCAATATTTCATCTTTCTTGTTTAATCTATTTCGAATAAGACTGAAAATCTTGATTTACCTTTTTCATGGTTAGTTTTATAATTATAGATTCTCTTAAAAACTAAATAGAGTATTCTTAAGTTAAGAAGAAAACATACTATTTTCGAATAAAAAATTCACAAACTTAAGAATATTCCATTCAAAAGACCTAGAAAGATATGGCTACTTATTTATTACTTGTTAGTTGAGATTTCGTTCAAATATAAATTTTATGATTGAGACCATGAACCGATTGATGTTAGTCCACCACTGAAAACCTGAAAGCAATGGATGGCCGTTTTGTCTGTTTGTGGAGTTCCCCAGCAGTGCGCATCCACGATCCCGCTCACGGGACCCAGACACAGGCCCTTCGGTCTTGCGCGCAAACGCCATAACCAGTGGAGCTAATCCATGTCGGGTGGAAACAGGTATCTACCTCAGTACAATAGAAGGTAGTGGCGCAGTTTCGTGGATTGGTTGAGGTTAGACATTGACACCGTTAGATGCTGGTCCAGTGGTCTAGAGTTGAAGCCTTCGCGCGCGAGACCGATATGTCCTGGGTTCGATTCTCCCGAGGTGGGATCGTGGATGCTCACTGCCGAGGAGTCCCATATTAACTAACTTATTCAATCGTGAATAAAGTGAAATGAATTACTGTCTTTCTCATAAAAGTCTAAAGACCACTTGTAATTAATTAATCGAAATGTTTGTTAATCGAAATAACTTGAAACGTTTTAGTTACTTTACACGATATTTAAAAAACATAAAATGTAAACATCTTATGCCTAATCAATTATATGATTACTATCTGTTCTCATTCTCAATTAAGTTATTCACAGTTCATTTCAAATTTATAGGTTTTGTTGTCATCTAAATCCAATATAAAGAGTATTTAGTAAATCAAAGTTTTTTTGAATGTTTGTAGTGTCGATTATTACGTTAAGCCCATATACGTTATTCCAGCTTTCTGACAACCTAATCTATTCATCCTACTTGAGTCACATTCTGACCTTGTTAATTATTCGCTTATCAATCTTCATTGTTTTTATATGAGCGCGTAGGTGTGTGTACGTTTCTTATCCCATTACTCATCGCATGTCTGTAACTTACTTTTGTGTAACTATAACTATTGATTAACGCTTGACTAAAGGGGAGTTGGCTTACCTCCACTCCGCGTCGTTTCTCTTCTCTCTATTTCACTCGCTTCATATACAAAACATATGTATTCAAAAGTCCATTCTCGTTATTTGACTTATCTAAATCCGTTATTGA